GTTCTCCACACTATACCTAATTTCTTTAGGATATGACCAAGCTAAACAACTGCTCACCCAAAGAACAAGGAATGTGGAGCTCTAGACTGAAATTAATAAATTGTTCTAATATGACAGAAATTGGATTTAAAAAAGAACACTTGGGAACCAGAAAAATACTCACACATTCTAACTTTTCCCAGGCTGCAAATTTTTCCCCAAACCAGACATAGTATCTTACCATCTACATTGCTGCAAGGCAGATATTCCAAAAACCCATTAGCCAAGTGTAGCTGCCTATGCGATGACAAGGAGGATGAATCCATTTTTCTTGTATTATTATAATGCAAATCCTACAGGGATATTAGGCCTGGTTACATTTTCTCCCTAGTATGCAAATTCTCAGGAAGGATAGACAATTTCTATCTTCTAGACCAGGGGTGTCAAACTGCGGGCCCACGGGCCGGTTTCATCATATCAGAGCCACGCCCACCCCTTTGCCGGCATTGGCAAAAAAGCTCCGATACGTCGCGCGACGTCATGTGACATCGCGAGTTTGACATGTCTGTTCTAGACGATTTAAAACCTTTCATTACCTGTGTAGGAGATAAATTCTGTGTTGCTACAACATAAATAAGGCATAACTGGCCACAGGAATAACCATTCCTGTTTTATTCACCACTTCAGGTTTATGTGTTAATTGTGTTGTTTTAGCTGACATGTACTTTAATTTCATACACTGTAATATTTTAGATTTATACTTATATAGATAATTAACATAATATTAAAAGGCAGCCCTCAACTTATGATCATTTAATGATGATTTAAAGTTACAATGATCTTGGAAAAAGTGACTTATGACCTGTCCTCAAAGTTATGTTGTTGCACCACAATTACATGATCACAATTCAGGTGCTTGGCAATTAGCATGCATTTATGCAGTTGCAGCATCTTTGCATCCTTCACAGCTGGCTTCCAACAAGCAAAAACAATTGGGGAAGCCAGATTTGCTTACTGACTATATGATTCGTTTAACATATAGCTGGTGAAGTGATGACTCAAAACTGACTAAGCAACTGAAATTCTAGTCCCAAGTTTGGTTGTAAGTCAAGGACTACCTATAGAGTATGTTATATTTTTACCATGGAAACTCTTTCCTAAAATAATACCTTATTTCATTCATTTGATTTTAATTCCATGCTTTTAATTCTAAATTTTGCTGGTCATTGATTGAATAAACATCACTATTACTGTTACATTACACTGCTATTTATGGCTATAAAAGAAAACCTACAAATGGAAGTAATCATATTAGACAAATACCAAAAGAAACAGAAGTATTGTTAAAATCAAATTATCCTACTTCAGACACATTATACAAAGACCTAGCGCTCTGGAAAAGCCTCTAATGCTGGGAAAGGGAGAAGGAAAGAGAAAATGAGGACAACCAGAAGGAAGATGGATGAACTCAGTTACTGTGGTGATGAATGCACTGTTGGAAGCCTAAATGTGCAGGTTAAAGATGGATTGTCTTGACCTATTTATCTATTTGGTCACTAGGATCTGAAAATGATTTATAGCAAATAATCAATCAATCAATCAAAATTTAACAACATCCTTAAACTTTTCCTTCCAAGACCCTGCCTGCTCTCAGTAGTAATAGATATAACTGAAAGGAAAGAAATATTGAGCATGGATCAAAACAATAAGAACTAACGTACCTTCAAATTCATTAGGTCCCCAATATGGAAAGATCTATGATGGAGACCTAGTGAATTTAAAGAACTGTTGAGGAATTTAATAGACATGAATATTTTTTTAAAAATTGTTTGATGAACTAGTTTTTAAATTATAATCAGCCTTAACATTTCTAGGACCATTGGTTTGATAATATAAGATAGCTCAATTCTATATTCCATTCCTTTTATATTATCCAGCTCTAGTTTTATTTAAAAATGTAGACATTTATAATACTGAATTGTTGGTTTAGCTTCTATAAAAAAATATTCAATGCATTCTATACTACCAAATTTTCAGAGGCTGCTAAAGCATCCTTGGTGTTTCTCCATTCCATATAAAATCAACTACTTATGTATCATTTTAAAATATCTCTGTGAAATTGATTCATTTATTGCTATCAGTAATGCTGTTTTCATTTTCTCTACATTTATTCCTATCCACAGACTCATAGCTATTTTCATCCACTTATTAATGTACCATTTATCAGAGCTACATAAATATTCATATCTGCTAATAAAGATCTTTTTATCTGAGTAATTATCTTCTAGTGTTTAATATGAGCTGAACTATTTTTATATACATCTAATGATACCTTTATCATATGGCAAAATATTAGGGTCTGATTACTCCAGTTTACTGTGTATCTGGAGTGTTTATGATATTGCTGCATCAATTCTAATGAGTCTTTGACAAATTAAAAAGTTTCAAGATGAGTATAGAGCAATAACTTATGTTTGATTACTGCTCCCAAATATTCTGAATAGACCCAGATTGTATTTTCAAACATGACAAAGACTGCAAGACTAAATTAAAGGAGATGAGAAAAATTGGGCTTACTAGGCATGCTGAGATGTATTAAAGTAAAGATTGTCACTTTTCTTCTCCTGAAATATTATTTTATTATTTTATTATTTTATTTGGTTTAATAATAGTCATTTATTCCCCAACATAGACTGCAGTTCTTTTTTTTATCAATAGAGGGCAAAATGAAATTGCTCTGGTTTTCAGTGTTATAGCTCCCTCTATTGATAAACAGAGAGCACCAATGACTCTATAGATCAGTGGCATCCAATCTTTTGGGCATTGGGAAACAGTTCCGTGGAGAGAGGTTTTTCTGTGGACCGGAGGGGGCGTGGTTTCATGTGTTGCCTGCATCACACAGATGGGACTTCGCTTGTTTGAGTCGACTGATTTCTGGCATGCCACGACCCAGTGTCAGTCCACAGACGAGGGGTTGGGGACCCCTGCTACAGAAAATAGCACAGCCTTTGTTTTCTAACAGATGGAAGAATATATACGGTATAAGACAGAAAGGACTTAGAGTGAATGTGGTATCACCCTTTTCTCACAATTTGAAATGAAAAAAAGACAGAGCAACCTAATTGGAGAGGGCTTATTTTGTCTTTTAAAGAGGTCCTCCCCAAATTGTAAAGAAAGGACTAAAATGTTTTGATTCTGGGAGGTCCTAAAAGGCAGAAAAGGAAAAGTGGAGGAAGTATTTAGAGGTCATACATAGGTGTAGGGCATCACTTTGCCTTCTGCTGATTATTATTATTATTATTATAATTTAATTTATATACCACCCTTCTCCCGCAGGACTCAGGGCGGTGCACAGCGTATTAAAAACAGTACAAATACAAAGCATAAAAATACAAACCCCTGTAAAACCAGATTAAAAAACCGAATATTAGAAGCTGTGTCTCTATTTAAAATTATTTTTAAAATCACCCTAAATAAAATCCTCCCTAGGTCAGGCCCGCTTGCTGGAAAAGCCATGTCTTNCGGTCTCGGAGGTAACCAGGTCCGATGCCATGAAGCGCTTTAAAGGTGGTAACTAACACCTTAAAGCGCACTCGGAAGACCACTGGCAACCAGTGCAGCTCGCGCAGAAGCGGTGTTACATGGGAGCGACGAGTCCCTCCCAACACCGCCCGCGCGGCCGCATTCTGGACCAGTTGAAGTCTCCGGGTGCTCCTCAAAGCAGTGATTAGTTTCTAAAAGACTAGTATTTCAAGTTTAAGTGAAGTTTCTTATTTGGCCCATGCAAGATTTGTTAAATATAAGTTTACTATACAGTGTGCAAAAATAATTTCACCCTTATTAAGCTTTTTAAATAAATGGTCTGAAATGGAATACCTTGTAACAAGCACAAATAATTTTTTTATAGACCTGATCTGGGATTTCTGGCAATAGGACCATCTCTGCCAGATATGGTCCTCAAGGCTTCATATTTCTCAAAACAACCTAAGAAGATTCTATGGTATTCTCTGACCTATCTCCAAGAAATAAGCTGTAGTTCTCTGACCAATAGTATTTCTCATCTTCTTTTTCTTAACATTCTTTACTAATGCAAGCCCTTCAGTGACGCAACCAAACAACGCAAAAGGTGGTTAACACATCAGTGAAAGTTTTGCAACTGAATACATAATTTGGGGAGTCTAAAGATTCAAGAAGAAATTTATAGTGGGCTTCATAAGTGCCCACATTTAGCACCTATTCAGACTCACAGGATACAGGTACCAATTGAGACTAAGCCTGAATGGAGAGTTGTGCTTTCTCAGAAAGCATAATTTATGCCACTCTTGACAAATAGCAATGGCACTTAGATTTATATACTGCTTCAGAGTGCTTTACAGCCCCCTCTAAGCAGTTTAGAGAATCAGCAAATTGCCCCCAACAATCTGGGTCCTCATTTTACCAATCTCAGAAGGATGGAAGGGTGAGTCAACCTTGAGCCAGTGAGAATCAAACTGCCAAACTGCAGAAATCTCAATATATTACATATTTTCCCATGGTAATATTTGAAGCCATTTATAGAAATATGAACTTGGCCATGGGTAGCATTTTAGTAATACATTTTCATAATATATCTAGGATTATCCAGGGTTATCTCTGTTATAAGCCATGATGATACTAGTATAATGAAACATGAATCATTTCCTCATTGTGTAAAGAACACACTTTATTTTTTTATGCCACAGGACATCATTTCCCTTCCCTTGTCTCCTCTGAAGAAACCATGTTAGTACAGTATTCCTTTTGCTTTGTGAAAATATTGTCCCTTATCTAGAAGTCCCAATCTCAGAAAAATAGAATGGACTCTAATAGAATAATATTTGTAAGGCTGCAATGGTGAATGGTTGACAAAATATTCAATAACACATTTTAACTATATCCACAGTATTTGAGTTTTGGAAATGGATAGTGAGCTATAAATAATGTTATGATGAACAGCAAAACACAATGAGAGATAAACATTAAGGCTTTTCTGCAATTCCTACCTGAACATGTCCCCAAGACCTTTGAGCATTCCTTTCTTGGCTTTGATTTTATCCTTCTCCTTATCTCGATCTTTTTTCTTGTCCTTCCCATTTTTTTTCCGGTCCCCTTTCTCCTGACTGCCATTCATCTGTCTTTCTAGAGAATGGGATGGTTGGTCACTAGATGTGGACACAGATTCTCTACCAGATCGTGAACTTTCTTCTGTGTCTTCTTCCACTAAAAGAGTAAGGAAATTTTAGCAGGGGATGGAGGGAAAGAACAGAAAGTGCCTTTTCTTAAAAAAAAAAAAAGTTTCAAGCACAAGGACCATAAATTATTTTGCAGGCTAAAACCATTCTATTTGTTAAGGGACAACTTTTCCAAAACAAGAGGCCATGACCAAGATTCTTCTCTCAACTGCTTTCTTTTTAGTTTCCAGTAGGTTGGGGCCAACTACATGCCCTGCATGTCCTAGGTGGGCAGATTTTACTTGTAGCAGATGATTCCAAAGGTAGCAAGAACTTGTGCCATAAAATGTTTTATAAATAATAATCACTTTGAATTGGGCTTGGAAATTGGCAACCAGAAAATCCCTGTAATATTGATCTCATTAGTTAGCTTCAATTAGCAGGCAAGCAGAGGGTTCTGTAGCAAGTATAACTTTCAAGTCATATTCAAGGGAGAACCATTTGGGGCAAATGCAATAGTTTAAACACTCACAACTGGAAACCAACCAAAGCTGGTCAAAAGCTTTCTTGGTCACAGCTCTACCCTGTGGCTCTACCAGGTGAGTCCAGAAATGTCTCCACATTGTATAATACCCCTTCAAAGAAATGCAGCTGCACCCAGAGATGAAGTTGAAACTACCCTTCAGCCAGATAGTACTTATGCTGCAATTCAATCTGAACCTGCTTTGTTCCATCCAGTCATTCACCAGGCTTTTCCTGACTGTTCCCCATGAACACTTAACTGAACTGCTTACTTAGGAATAGAAGCACTTCCTCTGATCCACAAACCCTTTCAAATGGGTCAATGGGATCAAAAGCTACAGAAGGAGCCAGAAAGATAATGAGAATATGCATATTTACACACACACCAAGTATGTATACTATATGCTTAAAATATATATTTTCTATGATATGATATTTCCCTTAATTTTTGGGGGACATTTTGAAAAGGTATAAAGAGGACGATACTGCTACTTAACAATTTATGAACCCTTTTGAACTTTCAATGTCTCTGCCTAAAATATAAGAATATATATATAATTTAGATACGTTAGATATATAAGATATAATATATGTAATTTTATACACACACAGATTATTAATATAGTATAGTATAGTATAGTATAGTATAGTATAGTATAGTATAGTATAGTATAGTATAGTATAGTATAGTATAGTATAGTATAGTATAGTATAGTATAGTATAGTATAGTATAGTATAGTATAGTATAAAAAAAGACTTTAAAGTAAAATCTTGAAAATTATAGCCAATTCTTACATGTCATGAGAAGGTGATGGATGGACAAATGAAAGCATGGTATAAGCCAACTATGTTCAATAAATCTATTCCTAATCAGAGGATGAGCTTTTCTCTTTTTCTTCTTTTTTAACATTTATAAATATTAACAGAGTGGAGGTAACTCAAACATTATACTTCTTTTATATCATGAAAACAACTCCTCGTACGGTGTTTGGTATCTTTTACTAATGTTATATTGAAAATTAATTATGTAACTTCAATAATTATCTCTTTATTCATAGGCAGTATTTTTTAAAACACACCCTTGTTTTAAATAAAAATAAAAGGATAAAAGTAGCCCTGGTTAATAGACTCACATATAACTGCAAATAGAATATTAAATCAGATTGCCCTTTTGAATACGATGCAAATGTGCACATAATTTCTATTGAACAGGACCATAGGCCGAATTTTCTGAAGCTATTTTTCTAATTACTCCATAAAGCAAGCAAAATGCATATAAGAAAACATAATTACTGAATATGAAACTGTTTCATAGTTGAATGTCTAGACTGCTTATTGTATTACTTAATACCAGCCAAAGCTCCAGCAATTAAGAGAGATAAGAAAGCTTTGCCAATTTATTCAGATTCAAATGGCTTGTTCTCAGACTACACATGCTAAAAATGGGTTCTGTTTCTTGTCATCCTTTTCAAGAGTTTGAAAACAAGTACTATGATTCATATGATCAGAATATCCCAAGCAGTCATCTCTGACTTTCTGATTATAGTTCTTAAAATCTATACGTACCTCCCACCAAACTTATCTTTCATACATTGTTTAAGAGTATGAATAGCTTATTCTTCTAAGGGGAGCAATTATATTATGTTTGTAGAGTCAGTGTACTCCTCTATCACATGTTCCATGCTATAATTTTAGAACTCCCAATACGACATCATAAAGATTTCTTTATAAACAATTCATTGTAACTCTTTCTTCAAAACAAACAAAAAAAATGTCAGTTGGCTGGCAAAGAGAAATATTCAGGCTTATAAAACCAGCAATTTTCCAGTAATGCATTGCATTGGTTTCACAATGAGAGAAGGAAGATTTCTAAATTATTATTTTAGACACATACACATACAAAGCACATAGGCCGAGAAAGAATAAAAAGAATTAAAAAAATCCTGAATGTAATTTAACTAGTGACGTCTCAGTCAACCTTTTAACTCCCTGATGCCCAGCCCACAATGAATATTGTGAAATGCACTTCAGTGTGACCATTATGTTACATTCCAACTTGGGTCTAAAGGACTGTGTTATATTCTTATACATATAAAGACTTAGGGGACCTAACCAGTGTGATGGCATACACTGAAGTGACCAGTGCAGAAAAAAAATCAGGATTCCAGGACTTCAGACTTAAGTCTTTTTGGGTCACTGTCTAACTATTTCTGGAAAGAAATAAAGTGAAATCATTCCTGTTGCTATTATAGAGGAGAAGATAATATTTCCAATTCGATAATATTATAAGGAACAATAATATTTCCAATTCAGTACTATTATATGATGGAGGTGCAATGACTTAGCAGTTAAGGACACTGAATTTGTCAGCTGGAAAGCTGACAGCCCAGGTTGAAGACCTGAGTGCCATGGGATGTGCCCCTATTTGCTGCCTCAGCTCCTGCCCATCTAGCAGTTTGAAAGCATGCAAATGTGAGTAGGTAAATAAGTACCACGGTGGGAAGGTAACAGCTCTCCATACACTTTGGCATATAATCATGCTGGTCACATGATCATGGAAGCATCGGACAACAGTTGCTCCCTCAATTAAGAAACAGAGATGAGCATTGCCCCTTAACTGGAAATGATCTGACAGGGGAAACTTTTATCTTTAATATAACAACAACAACAATAAAGTTGGAAGGGACCTTGGAGGTCATCTAGTCCAAGCCCTTCTCAGGTAGGAAACCCTATATCATTTCAGATAGTCTCTTCTTAAAAACTTCCAGTGTTGGAGCATTCACCGCTTCTGGAGGCAGGTTGTTCCACTGGTTAATTGTTCTAACTGTCAGGAAGTTTCTCCTTCGTTCTAGGTTGCTTCTCTCCTTGATTAGTTTCCATCCGTTGCTTCTAGTCCTGCCTTCAGGCGCTTTGGAGAATAGCTTGACTCCCTCTTCTTTGTGGCAGCCCCTGAGATATTGGAACACTGCTATCATGTCCCCCCTCATCCTTCTCTTCATTAAACTAGACATACCCAATTCCAGCAACCGTTCCTGATATGTTTTAGCCTCCAGACCTCTAATCATCTTTGTTGCTCTTCTCTGTACTCTTTCTACAGTCTCAACATCTTTTTTACGTCGCGGTGACCAAAACTGGATGCAGTATTCCAAGTGTGGCTTTACCAAGGCATTGTAAAGTGGTATTAATACTTCATGTGATCTTGATTCTATCCCTCTGTTAATGCAATCTAACACTGTGTTGGCTTTTTTGGCAGCTGCAGCACACTGCTGGCTTATATCTAAGTGATTGTCCACTAGGACTCAGAGATCTCTCTCACAGTTGCTGCTATTGAGCAAGGTACTCCCTATACTATACCTGTACATTTGGTTTTTCTTGCCTAAATGTAGAACTTTACTTTTTTCAGCATTGAATTTCATTTTGTTAGATAGTGCCCAGTGTTCCAGTTTGTTCAGATCCTCCTGTATCTTAAGCCTATATTCTGGAGTGTTGGCTATTCCTGCCAGCTTGATGTCGTCTGCAAATTTGATGAGTTCCCTGTCTATCTCCTAGTCAATGAAGATATTGAAGAGCACTGGGCCTAGAATAGAGCCCTGGGGCATCCTTCCCTCCATGTAGATGCGATTCCATTGAGGACCACACGCTGAGTACTGCCGGTCAGCCAGCTACGAATCCATCTGGTGGTGATGCTGTCTAACCCACATTTTTCTATCTTATCAAGTAGCAGGTTGTGATCTACCTTATCAAATGCCTTACTGAAGTCCAAGTAAATTATATCCACAGCATTCCTCTGATCCACTAATTTTGTCACTTGGTCAAAGAATGCAATAAGATTTGTCTGGCATGATCTGTTTTTGACAAACCCATGTTGGCTTTTAGTAATGACTTTGTTTGTCTCTAGGTGTTCACTGATTTGTTGTTTGATTATCTTTTCCAGAATCTTCCCAGGTATTGAGGTCAGGCTGATAGGTCTATAGTTTCCTGGATCTATTTTTTCCCCCTTTTTGAAGATGGGAACTACATCAGCTCTTTTTCAGTCCTCTGGTAGTTCCCCAGTATTCCAGGATCTTTGAAAAATATAGTTCAGTGATTCTGAGATCACATCTGCCAGTTCCTTGAGAACCTTGGGGTGTAATCCATCTGGTCTTGGTGATCTGAATTCGTCTAGGCTGGATAGGTGCTCACTTACCATTTTCTTGCCTATCTTAACTTGTGTTTCTAATCTATTTTTATGGTACTGTTTTTGATAGGTTGGACTGTTTTTTTCCTTTGTGTAAAGACAGATGCAAAAAAGAGTTTAAGGAAATTAAAGAAGGTGGAATAGACAAAATTCAGGAGATAGCTCATTCCTTATTGAAAGAGTTCCTCAAAATATAAGTACATCAAATTATTTGCATCAAACTAAAACTGATTACTTCTCTCACACGCATACATACAAAACATATTTTTCATTAAGGAACTCTTAAAAGAATTTTTTTTGAAACAAAAAAATAAGAAAATAAGTAAAAAAGGGAGGGGAAAGGAGAGGAGAGGAGAGGGTTATAAAGAAGTGATTTCTAATTCTCTAAATAGCAATTGTGTTTATACTGTACTCTGTCAAGTTCAGCCCAGAGTCACTTGTCTATGAGATGGATGGCTATGTAAACAAAACCAAATATTTCCAATCATTTCTACTTTTCTGATAATACTTGGTATCCTTCTTGGCATCTGTCCCAAGAATTAAGTCATTCATGAGGTGAGCTACCCAGAATTTTATGTATTTTATTTATAAAATATATGGTAAAGTATATACATATAAAGTATGTTATGCACTTTTTACCAAAGCCAAACTGAGTATAACAATTATGTCCTGTGACTTAATGATTATAATTCTATTATGAAACCTAAAGCATCTACTGGGTTTCCCAACAAAATTTAATCCTAAAGTACAGAAGACTTTAAGAATTTAAAGAAAGGAATTTACATGATTTACTTACAGGTTTCCATTCCTTCATCATCCTCATCAGCAACAGGTTTATCATATGATTTATCTATTGCTGCCCTGAAACTTTCATTGCATCCTCGTCCTCGGATTATTCGTGGTCGTGGACGATGGAAGGGGATGTCACTATTCAATGTCACCTCAGCAACTGCTGTCTGCAAACTTTCTAAAGAGCTGGATTTCTTCAGGCCTAATGATGGGCCCACATCTCTGGTTGGAGAACCTTAATAGTTTTGTTGTAAAAAAAGGTAATTAGAATTAACAAGGAGGCCATTATTCACATCCATAACAGTCTACAGAGAATACTTTCAATATTATTTATGTTATCTCTATAATCTCTAGGCAATTCTAGGCAGTTTTATGGGTTTAACCAATGACTGTCAAGTCATACTGTACAAATTTGATAAGGTTAGCAACATCTCACTTTTCAATTTGATGGGAACACAAACTCATCACTACCCTTTCACTCAATTTAATGAGAATAAAATAATTACCAAGTGGTTAAAAAGGAGGGTGGGGAATTAGAACTCAAATATTAAAGATGTCAGCATTATAATTTGAATGGCATAGCCAGTTAATTTCATTTTTTTTCTTTTTTCAACTGAACAAAACAATCCTATGTAACTATTGGAAATGACAATCATTACAGAGATTGTATTGACCTAAAATTAGCTTGCATTCTTAAAATAAACATTTAGGGAAAATTTTGCCTTACTAGCTACTTTCATGAAGAGAATTTAATAACTTGCACTTAAATATTACAGTTTTCCCAAGGACTAGTCTACATAGATTTTTTACCCTAGAATTAATTAACCTGTATCACTATAGTTATTATACATAAAAATTCATGTCGACACTTATTATGGACTAAGTGGAACTAATGTAAATTTCCTTATCTTGATTATTAACAGAGACTACTACAGAATGATAAAAAATTTGACATTCACAAATAAATACATAAGGAATATAAACTTATAAATAACACAAATACACACAAATCTTATTAATTAAAATAACAAATATAGATTTTTAAATGGCATGCCTAAGACTAGCTATAATATACCAAATCAACACTATATTGCAACAAAAAGACTAAAAATGGATCTTATAAAAGAGTTATATCCTATAGTTAATTAGGGCTTCATGAGATGCATTCACTACAAATATATTTAGTACTAGCTGTACCCAGCCACGCGTTGCTGTGGCTCAGTCTGGTAAAAGCATGTGTTGCTTTTACGTCCAACAGATGGCACTGTTTTTCAAAAAAAGCATGTTTTTACCTGTCACAGGTGTGACATCTATATAATATAGGTATATAAAAACACGCGCATATTCGAATGCAATGTTGTGTCAAAATTTCAAAGCAATCGGTGAAGAACTTTCGGAGATTTAAGATTTTGAACAAACGAACATTTACATTTTTATTTATATACATTTCAATTAGCTATTCCTATTTCAAATTTAAGTTAAGTTCTACCTAGCTGAGGTTCTATTATAGCAGGCATCACATGTGCTGATCGCTGTTGATAGACCCACATCCATAAGGAGATCACAAAAGATAAAACTATTAAGTTAAGCCAATTATTAGAAAGTAATCTAAGATATATGATATTTCAATACAAAAGATACTCAGAATCATGCTTCCAAAAGTTAGTCTAACTAATGCTATTAAAAGCAATAGCAATATGAAAATTAAGTCTAAATATGGATCAGGACAGAGGGCTTTCCTGTTGAGGAAGCTTATTCAGAATTTTGGAGTGGGATTCCATCAGTGTGCTGTTGACATTCAGCTCTATTGTTCTTGTCATTCAAGTTCAGCTTAATAATTAGTATACAGTATTTAAGTTCTATAATCAGCTAGTTGTGGGAGAACAAACAGAAATGAAAACCCAGACAAGATGGATGCTATTGATAATTAAAAATTTGATCCTCCTGGATTTCAAGATGGTAGCTACAGTGAGGAACACTTTTGCACCATTATGGTTAGAATCAGCTCCCATTCTGAGTTGTTATCTTTGTTATCCATGCCTGGATTGCATTTCATCCTAATTATTACCTCACTGATGATATGGAACTATCCTTGATAGTTGTATAACAGCTGAAATGAATGCCAAATCGGCTGCTAACCATTAGAAGTTACAGGGATTACATCATGGGTATGTTAAAGGAATTGCAATGGTTCTCTGCTGGTTATCAAGGACAATTGGTGGTATTACTATTGAGTTTTATGGTCCAACAGTGTTTCAGACCTGCTTCATTAAGTGTCTGTCTTTCCCATTTTAAATCTATCTCAATGTTCAAATCTGTAGGAATCTGCACATCTGTCTGAATATGTCCCTAATGACAAAAACTCATATATGTGTCCTTTAAGAAAGGATCGTCTCTTACATAGCTTCAGGGAGGTTGAATGCACCACTTCAGAAATTGTGTTCAGCTCTCACTTTCTTACCATTTAGAAAACCTGAAAAGGGCTCATTTCTTTCTCTAGGATTTTAACAGTTAATTAACTTTATTATTAATGTTATATTTCAAATTGTTGTATTTTGTTTTTAATAGAATTCAGCCTTGAGTATTAGGGTAAACAAAAAGACAAATTTTGGAAACAGCTGAAGAAAAGAATCTATAAAATCATAATCAATATGAAGTCACATAATTTATACTTCTACCTCAGAGATCCTACCTCAGAGATCCCCAATATTTTATTAAGCAGAAAGGCCTAAAATAAGTAGAGGCAGGGGTCAACTGTGGAATGAGGAAGAAAGGGAAAGGAAGGTTCAGTGACTTCCAGCTGTGTAAATAAACGTCAGGTTAAGTTTGAAAAATATTTGTAGTTAAGTCTGTGCATTTTGCCCTGGGGAAGTACATATTGTCAGTGGGTATGGAAAGCTATCTGTATTTTACATTTGCCGCCATATACATTTGGTGCTCAATAAGGATTTTATTAAACTAATTTTAATACAATCACTTATTATTATTTTCTAAATTCTAAATAAAGAGGGAGGGAGAGAGAGAGGAAAAAAAGACAAGGAAGGCTACATTTGCTTCTGGAATGAATGGAAGGGGAAAAGGTTTGTTTTTTTTTTAACCTGATAAAGTTAAGCTTCCTTAGTCCCTGCATCTGAGTATTTATAATGAGGAACAATCTCTTTTTTTAATTACTGAATGGTTCCTTACTCTTTATAAACAGTAGTTACATTAGGTACCTATTCATGTTCACAAGGGAAACTATTTCCTGCTACTAGTATGGATTATTGTGAGAAAAATATTTATGTAAGACAGGGAATCCCAAAGGAAAAGTGAGATGGGATATGACCTAATGTTCCCAGAGTACTGTAAAACTAATAATGGACTGCAGAAATGGTTAGACTATTTGTTGAACTTGGGTGGCCATCCAAATAGTCTGCAGACAAAGAAAAAAAAAGAAATAATCCTACATAAGCAAAATATGTAGTAAGATTAAAAATACTTTTGTGTAAGCATCTCATTGTTTCAATGAGTCTCTTTTAGACAGGAAGTAATTGTCAGAATTCAGGGTTTGGTTAAACATCCCTGTGCAAATTTGACTATATTAAAGGAATGATTCCAGTAGGTTTTAAATATGGCTTTCTTGGGTTTAGGACCTGATTTTTTTCAAATATAATTTTATCAATATCACTTATGGTTTATTCCTTAAAATTATACTGCATATTCCTTCAGGAACTTGAGATCAGTGTTGTACCTTTTCTTCAAATTTAATTATCAGCATATCAATCCTGTGGTAGACTGGTACTAATAACTAACCCAAGTCATTAGTGAGCTGCTCTAGTGGTGAGTAAACCTTGGTTTCTTCAGTTCTAGCCCAACAGATATTCCATTACAGTATATTTAGTATAAGTACCTGCATGTAGACTACAACCAATCTGGTTCAAATTCCTAAACAGAGATATTAGTAATGAATAGAGCCTTAGAAAGCATTATCTGGATTATTCAATAAATTTTGATGACCTACCATAACTTTGTAAATTAATGTCAGAACATTTCTTTTAACAAATTTCATTCAGAACTTATGACACATGCATTTACTGTTTTTCTTAATATATTGCAACAGAACACAACTTTCAGTTGCTATTTTTTAGTCCTAAGAACTTAGGAAATGCTAATACCCTTGAGATTTAATCAAAGAATGCTTCTCTTTGAAAAAGATAATCTTCAGGCATGAAATTAAGCTTCGCAGAGATAAAAAAAAGATTTTAAATTATTCCAAGTAATGTTGAAATAACATTACTGAAGTACACGGGTACTTGTAAATATGCATAGTATGTATTCTTCTATTTGATATATGTAGCAACAAGTTAAATGAGGACTGGATCAGAGATACTATTTCTTTTCCTAGCAGTAAATAGATAGTCCTTGACTTATGACCAGATACTCATGATTTGGTTCTGATGTCCTGTCTCTCACTCCCCCCCCCCCCGCAGTCACATATATTTCTGTTTTCAGCAAAAGAGGTCATTTGCTTAACAACCACAATGTTCACTTTATGATAGCAACATTTAATTAATAGCAGGCACAAAATAACTCATAAAATTAGGTTGGTTACATAGGTGACCTGCTTTAAAAACTATCATGACTTCTAATAGGCATATTCAAGTATCCTTGTAAATTGAGGATTACCTATAATCAAATATATTGTAGTCTGGATTTTCACAGGGAAGAGTATATTCCAATAGATACATGAAATGTAACTCCCACAACTCAAATCTATTTCTCTCCCTTCATGCCTCTATGCTATTCAGAAAAGATAAGGCTATCAAGAACAGTTGAATTACATAAAATTACAGTCAAAATTCAGAGTACTTAGGTTTTATTGGGGATTCTGACTATTACTATCTTTAAACAACCCCAAGTCAAAATAGCTTACAGCCTAGGATGATTGATGGTTTTTTTTATGTGATGTGTGGCTAGGCTATTTAGAAATATTTAGCTACTACGAATCTCCACTTGAAACTTTTTGCTTTGTAAGCAACTTTTGGCTATTGGACAGGCATGAACCACACTGACTCATTTTCCATGGAGACATTTTTGGCTGAAACGTTTCATTGTCTCAACACACATTCTTGTGGTGACCACATTTCTTCCACATTTCCCACACCCTTTAACATATAACATGTGTTAGAAGCAGAATAGTAAATATTAGAATCTTCATATTAAAAAAAAACTTTACAAACTTCTTTTAGAAATAAT